GTGGGTGACTGTCTTCTTTTTGGTGTAGGCTGGGAGGACACAGGATCACTCTTACAGAAGACTCATTCGATCTAACTTAAGTTTAAAATTATCTGTGTGGTTGCTGGGCTGCAGATAGATGCTTGAAGGGTGAGTGTGAGTCAAGGAGCTATCTGGGCGAGAACGTGAAGGCCTATGGAGGTGGTGGATTTCGCATCATTGTGAAGGTGTATCTCACTGGACTTGCTGATGGTGTACAGAAGGCCGAGGGCAGCTGGAAGGATGGAGATTCCATTTCCTGAGACAGGGAAGATCTGTGGGAGGAGGGAGATCATTCCTTGGTCTGGATGATGTGTCTAGATGCCTTTAGACAGCTACAGGGAGATGCTGAGCAGGCCACTGAAGCTGGAGTGCCTCACGCTTTAATCACTGAGGGTGAGAATGTAGGTAGAGAAGGTGCAAGGTGGGATGCCTGAGACACCCTGATCACTCAAGGTCTTCGGGATGCAAGGGAACCAGTCAGAGAACCAGGATCTGACCATTGGATTGGGTGGTGTGAAAGTCACGGCGAGGGCTGTTAGTGGGGAAGTTGGAAAACTACTCATGACTGGAGAGGTTTGGAGAAAAGAAGGTGTAGTAGATTTGGAGACAACTTTTTCTGAGCATTTTCAGTCAAGGACCTGAGAGAAATGAGGCAGCAGCACAGCTCAGGTAGACAGAAAGTGTTGGTCAGAGATGGTGTCCTCCAAATATGTGCTGGAAGCCCAACCCTGTACTGTACCTGTGGATGTGATACCAGTTGGGAGCAGGATTTTTTTCTATTACGTCCATGAGTCCTATCAGTGTAGGTGAGTCTTAAACCAATCACTTCCGAGATCTAAAAAGAGCAGATTAGGCACTGATGGAAAGGAACAATGATTCCTGCCACACAGAGATCATCAAGGAATCAGGGAACATGGGGTCTACAGAAACAGAATGAGAGTTCCCCCAGAGCCCAGAGTCTTAAGAGGGCCACACTCTGACTCTAGACTTGCTGCCTCATTAAATGTAAGAGCATAACTTCTGCTGACTTTGCAGGGACTAGACAGGGCAAGCAAAACTCTGGGATGGGCACTGACTCGTTCTGGGAGGCACTTAGTAGCATGTGTCCTGTTTGTTGGGCTCTCAGTTTCCCTGGGGAGGAGCAACCGTTACTTCTCAGAGGATGACTGTTGATGTTTTGGAGGGAGCAGTGTGACCAGGGCTGCTGACTACCATGCTGGTGGGCAAAAGAAGGGCAAGGGTCATTCCTGTGGTGAAGATCAACTCTCCCCCTGTTAGTCTAGGGCTGGGCAGCTGTAGGAGGGGCGGGGACAGCATGCTCTGATGGGCTACATGCCTATTGTTGCATCTCTGAACTCGCTGCCTGTTGTCTGAGGACCCTGACTCTTGTCACCAACTCTCCTTCCTGCCTCCTCATGTGGACTGTGTGCTGAAGTGCTCCTGCCTTTCTGCACTCCTCCATAGGACCCTCCCCCCGCCCCAGCACATCCTGGGCATTCCTCAGCCTCCCCTCCCCCCCACAGCTTGAAGTTCTCACACTGAGTGTCCCTCTTCTCATTCCCTATAGTCTTGGCTTGTAGTCACAGCCCTCTGTAGGCAGTTAGAATCAGAAAATCAGCACCTTGGAGAGCACTGGCAAGTCTGCCAGCTGGTTCATTTGGCCCACGGTTGTCATCATGGTTCCTTCCATTCATTAAAAATTGGTGACCTGAGGCTCCACGTCCCTCAGCCCCTGGGGCTTCAGCAGGCGCTGTAGCTTCTATTAGAAGCCCCGGAGTAGCTGCAGCTTGAGTCCAAATTCAGCTACACATGGAACACAAAGGCTTCTCTCTCTCGAAAACCCACCAGTTCAAGTTGAAAGGCTTTGCAGCTGAAGCCAGAGTCGTGAGCAGCAGACGCACAGGCTGGGCTGCGGCTGGAACTGTCACTTCTGTCGTCTCCAGTTGGGAACCAGCCCTCTGAGTTGTTCCCTCTGTAGTCAGTGAAGTGGCAGTTTTGGAACGGATTGATCTCCCTGGGTGTGTGTGCTCAGCGTTATTTTTAGGGTGTGATGATACTTGGCACACTCCTCTGCGTTACAAGCATCCCACTAATCCCCTGAGCACCTTGGTAAACATCCCCAGTAGTTTCAATGCCTGGCAGGTCAGAAGCTTCGAAGAATCAACACTTCGTCTGCCAGCTGGAGTTCAGGCTGCTGGTCGGATTTGAGATGTGCTGAAGGCCACCAGTTGTTTAGTAATCCACCTCAGCAGAGCACCGAAGCCTCTCTCACCCACAGGATTAGGTCTGGCTTCCAGCCTTTTGAAAAAAATAGAATTAATTTTATTTGTTGTTTTTGTTGAGTATATACACAGCAAAAATATATACCAGGTCAAGTTTGTGCAAGCACAATTCACTGACATTGATGACAATATTTGAATTGTGCAGCCACTGTCCCTCCTTGTCTTGAGTTGTTCCTCTTCCATAAACACAAATTCACTGTCCCTAAGGTTCCTGTCCAACCTTTTGAGTTGTCAGTTTGATCCTATAAAGCTAGGACTTACAATAGCACAGTGTTCCCAGGTAGGCATTTTGTTACCAGTGAAGTGGAACTATTGTTTGGTTTTGAGAGGACTTCAGGGGATATTTTTTTGATTTAAGGTTTAAAGATGATTGAAAGACAGTAGTTTCATGGTTTTATTCAGCCTCTATGGCTCCAGAAAGTCTGGATTCCATGAGAGGTTTAACTTCTGTTCTGCCTTTCTTCCATTTTGATAAGGATACTTCTAAAGAATCTATGTTCAAAATGTTCAGTATTGACAGCTGGGCATCATCCAGTTCTTCCAGTCTCATATGCCAGGAGGCAGTTGTTCATAGAGGCAATAAGCCACACAGTCCATCTCCTACTCTTTATCTTGCACTCTTCCCCTTCCCGGTGGCTCCAGGTGAATAGGGACCAATTGTGCCTTGGAGGGCCCTTTGCAAGCTGTTAAGACTCAGGTGGCAGTCATCCTTCTTCTTTCTCCTCCTCCAGGCCCCACCCCCACCCCCCCCACACACACCTTCATATCCCAGGTGCCTGGAGCTGGCCCTGTAGGCGAAGTATTTCAGCAGCTTGGATCTCTGCCCAGCTTCCCACTACTCCTAACACTGACCCCAGTGCCTGCCGCACACCCTCACACATGCCTGTTCTTGCTTCCAAGTGGCAGGTAGTATAGGAAGGGTTGCCTGCTCTTTGGGGCAGAAACAGGGGTCTAGGGAGGATCGAGACCCTTTTTTTTTTTCTCCATTTATGTGAAACCAAGCTTGAGCCCTGGAGTGCATGGCTCAGCAGTATGAGCCCACCAGTTGCCCTGTGGGGGAAAGATGAGTTTTTTTGCTCCCACAAAGATTTATAGCCTTGGAAACATTGCACAGGGTGGCTATGTGTCAGAACTGACTGGATGGCACTTATTAACAGCAGCAAAGCTTGAGGCTTGATGCTCAGGAGCGTGGGGACAGATGAGAGCTAGGGCTGACCCAAACGGAGGCAACACACTCCTCTTCTCTGTGGAGCCATGGCATGTGTCTGCGCATGCCCACTCCTAGTCCAGACTTATAACTTCCAAGAAACCATTGCGGTGTGCTCAGCTCCAAAGGAAGACTCAGACCCACTTGTGAGCTGGATGGACTTGGACCAACCATTTCACTTCCTTGAGCCTCAGTTCCCTCCTGGTGAAATGGAAACAATAAAATGAGTTGCTGCTCTGAGCATGAACTGAGACTGTTAATCTGGAACCATCTGGGATGTTTTAAAGGGTTTATATATGGGGGCCTTATCTGGCTGCTGCCATTGTGTCTTATGCAGGTACTTTGAGCAGTGGAGGCAAGAACTAAACTTGGTTGAACATCTACTCTGTGCTAGGGAGTTTGTTGGTGCATTTCCACCTTTATTTCCTCTCCATTGAGACACGGTTCAGTGTATATATAGGCAGACCTTAGGGGTATTGATAGTGTAGTGGTTATGAATCAGGCTGTGAACCTTAAGGTCAGCAGTTTGAAACTACCAGCCGCTCCATGGGAGAAAGATGAGGCTTTCTACTCCTGTAAAGATTTGTTGTTGTTGTTGTTAAGTGCCATCGAGTCGGGTCCGACCCATAGCGACCCTG